AGTTGCAAATGGGGCCGCACTAAGATAGAAATCCTTGAATATGATCTCCACAAATAGTTAAGGACTTCCTACAGCCCCCAACCTGCCTATTGATCGCAAACTCATCTACCGCCTTCCCCAAACCATCGATCTCCCCAACCAACTTACCGCCCAATCCCAGCAAACGCCACTCCAAGCCACCTAACCTCAAAGCAACTTCCGCGATAATGCACCTACCGCGCACCACACCTCTCCACATCTGCCTTCCCCAACTCACACAACACCCAACCCAATGACCGCTCTACATCCCACCAATTGCCCCCACCCACCTACACTCACCGACTCTTCTGCACCCAACCAGAGTGGGGAGCCCCAATCATAAGTAGCCTTACGTAGTTTACAGCAAATCTCACCGACATGTTGTGGAAAGAGCTGAAGTTCTGCTCTTCTTCTTAACGTTCGAAGTATTCAACTGCATTCGAATATCTAAACTGGAAGACAACAACTTCCAATTTTGTCATAAAACCAGACCAAATGCACATTGTAACTTCTCATGTCGCACAGACGTCAAATACTGTGAATATGTCTCTTTGCTTGTGAATTTTGTTGAAACGCGTGGAGCATGGAAAGAGCAGGAGAGCTGTGATGTGAAGGCTCGTATCACGCGGCAGCGGCAGCACCAGCGCAAGCGGGGCCAGAGCGCAGCCTGCATTCCAATTAGGCAAATATCGCACGTTAAGTCCGCCTAAAGCAGGGCTCGGCGCGGCGTACGGGCTCGTGTTATGGAATAATGCGAAGAAAACAATCTCTTAGAAACGTTATCTCTCGTGAACCGGAACATTCGCGGAATCCTGAGTTCGTGTCACGCCCTAAGGTAGACCGACAGAGGAAACTAGGTTTTGTCAACGTGTTTTCTGGCAGACGCTCTAATTTGAAAAGACCGCTTGGTAGGCAAAAATAAGGTCGAAATAATATTGAACTGCTTACGAAATGTAGAATGTCTATTTCTTTTTCTTTGATGCACTATGATAAAAAAATAATATAGAGATGAAGCTGAAATATATAATTTCAAACTGCATGCATTGTTTTCGGTCTTTTTATTAACTTCCTAGTAAACGACCTCCTAGTTTTTAACCATATCCATGACATACTGCATTTAGAGGTTTGACCTACAGTCTACCTATTATCACTGAATAAACATGCATTAATAAAAATTATTATTATTATTATTATTATTATTGTTGTTGTTGTTGTTGTTGTTGAAATATCGTGGTCTTGAGATAGAGCTCAAAAGACTGGAAACGGAGGATCACGGCTGTCCCAGTAGTAACTGGGGTTCTAGAGTGAGATGACCAGACGTTCCGATTCTTTCGGTTGGTCCTGATTTGCGAAGGGACAGCCGGTCACGTTCGGACACAGTCAAAGAGATTCGTGAAAATGCTGAACACAGTTGCATGAGGGATTGCCTATCAAGAAGGGGCAAATGTCATGTGGCTAACACTTCGTTACATGAAATTTGCAACCACGTATTCATTGGCAAAAAAATATCATCTTCGATCCATCTACAAGCTTTATAATCTGAAACATTCATTCTAAGACACTGGAATATCAGTTGTCTTGTGATATCATCAGTATAATAATAATCATAATATATCAGTGTCTGTATAAAATGTTTAATATTGAAAATAACACTATTTTACTATAAACTTAATCACTTAGCTTAACAATGATTTTAAAGATTTTGTCATTCTTCTAATTTACAGATGTATGAAAAAACAATAAAATAGTCACTCCATGCACTAAATTGTTCTATATAAGTTCAGGATTTTTGTGGAATGTACACTATGTCGCATAGAAGGCGATGAGCTGAGAAAGAACAGACGAAAGGCGGGTTCGTATACGAGATGTTCCTGGAAGATAAATAAAGACAATAAATACATGTAAAACTATACATGCGGATTTGTTTTAGTTGGAATAAATCTTAATAAACTTAAACATTTGTAGCGAGCTCTAATATGGAAGGATGGAATTTCAAGGAAAATACACATCATTCTTCTTCGTTATTGTTCACAAACTTATATTGTATCACTTCTCTTTTCACGTGTAATGGAAATGAATTAACAGGGAGCCTCAGGCAAAAAACAAAACAAAAATACTTGCATATTAAGAGTTTATGACTTACTTTAAACATTTCTGCTTTAAATAAATGCGTGTTTTAATTGTCTTTAAATATGCTGGTATCCTACAACACATCGCAAAGACAATCACTTATTCGGTTTAAATAACAACTTCAAAGTAATTTTTAAAATAAACTCATACTTAACAGGATTACGACTATTATATTTATAAAACACGTATTTAATATTAGATTTTTCCTTGCATACCTACCTGAAACTTAAAAATTACTAGAAATTCTAATTCACTACAACTGAAGAACAATTTTAAAGTTCTTTGTGAATCGCCGTCATCCACGATATTTCAAAAATAATTAGAAAACCTCGAATTTTTCCTTTTTTAATGCAACTGGGTAGCAAAAAGTCATAGCCATAGGTGATGGTGTTATTGCGTTAAAACAACTTCAGAGACCAATTTCTGGCAACATGTTTTCGCAGCAATTCTCTCCCTTCGCATCCCATGCATTTTAATTGGGTGAAGAATGCATAGGCCCTGTTAAAAATGTATCTTGTGAAAAATAACCCTATCAGACAACGCACGGGCTCATGAGAACACTGTATTTGTGTGAGAGAAATCGCAAATAAGGATCAGAAACCATCTGACCGCACGTTTTGAGGCAAGGAAAGTTCCTCTTACTGACACCATAAAGTGCTGTCACTAGCTGAGATTTAATTGATCCACCCTTGCGATAACTTGGGGAACCTTACCTGGTGATTCAGGATGGAAATGAATTTCATGGTTGGTCGAAAATATGCAATTCTTAATCAGTTCCTAAATATACCACACACGCGAATATAACCAACAGCGTGAAATATCACGTAATAAGGTATTTCCATTACTGTGTTCATTAGAGTAAATTACGCGATATGAATTCGTTGATTGGCAGGACATACTCTCCTCAATTTCCAAATTTTAATTGAAATCTTCCATCTCTTGATTGCTTCATAACAAAAACAATTATTGAAGATTATGGAAAACACCCTAAATGTTGCCTTATTGGGAAATCAGGATAATATCCAATAATTAAATAATACAAACTGCTTGAATAATATTTTCGTTTTATTCTAGTGGTTGCTACCAACACTAATACAGAGTTCCGATATTTTACTATGTAGTTTTACTGATAATTGCGAAGAAAGCTGCTTCTGTACGAAACGTAGAATAAACTTGGTAAAATTTTATAAAATTGAGTGGGAATGACAAATAAAAACTAGTTAACATTTTAAAGAATATTAATGAAAAATTGATAAAAAGTAAATGTAGGAAGAGAAGTAGAAAACAGGAGCAAACTCGACTAGATGAGGTAAAGGTATTATAAAATGAATGTTTTGTGAAAGGATAACCTTTTGATATTTGTTACGAGCACATTCTTTCCTTCTGACTGTATTCATTAAATTTCAAATACTCAGTATTAACTCTTTACGGGCAATTTCCTCAGATAAACCCAACTTACTTGTGTATTGTGCGAGAAACCCAAGAGAAAGCTCATCCTTGTGTAAAACCCTGCTAAAAACCGGCAATCCCCTTGCAGCTTTAACCAGGCCCAGAGTCTTCTTTATCTTCTTTGAAGAGTTCGACCTTTGACTACTTTTAAGGTTGCCCTTTACTCTCCATTAAATGCACTCTGAAAGCCAAAATTGCCAGAGGATTTCGCGAGCTTGACGAATCCTCACAGAACATGGATCTAGCGAGAGGAAATAACTTATTTCTTTGCGGATAAAGAGTTCAAGCTCTAGCTTCTATCTACAGTATGATTACGCCTCGTACATATATTACACATCTTTTGATCTTGTAACAGAGTTGATTTCCTACTACCGACCTTTTTTCACTTTTTGGACACAATTTCCTGATGAAAATAATGTTCCCATAGTGTCACTATTTTCACAATACAGCTTAATGAACAGTAATAAATTCATCCATTGACCTTAGAGTACGCACACTTTTGGACCTAAAAATAAAATCTTATGAAGATGTGACTAGAGTTAAGAAGTTAACACACAATTAATCAAAAATTCCCATTTTTAAACGATCCAATTTTCAATAATTGATTTATTATTTCATATTTTCTGACGCGTCAACCTCTATACTTATTAGTCCCTCAGAGTTTTGCATGTATGTTGGGGAGGTAAAGGTGTTCTTTCTACGCCAGATATATAGATAGCCAGATTCGGCGACGACCCACACGTCGACTTGCGGGTTTCCTCAACCAGGTATCTGCCACCAGCGCGTCGCCGCTCCCGCCGGGACCAGTTCTAACCTCCGGTTGCGCTCCCGACATGTGTGATTGTGTAGTGCATGTAAGTGTAAGTGGGTGTAAGTAAGAACTGAGGATACAAGAAAGAGGAAGGAAAAGTCACAAGTGGTCCTTGGACCGTTTGTTAAGGAACTGCTCCGTCATTCACCTGGTGTTGTTTGTTTCCTAAATTGCAAAAGGAATTTTTTAAGCTCTCCTACACTTTTTTATTGAAGCTATACATGTTTTCCTCAATTCAGATACTTTCTAATATTTGCACTAAAAGTATTTCAAGTAAAATATTTCAGTTTTATCAAAACATTCGTATTTTTCGCGTGATTTTGAATTACATCGTGCCAATTTTCCGAAGATACCTAGATAATTAATACAAAATATTATCAAAGACTGTCCCAATTTCTTCTTTGATTTATTGTAGTTTATTTGTAGAAGTACTAGAATGCACCAAAAATATTATCCAAGGGATTCCTTAACTACAACCTTTGATTTTTTAAATACCACAAAAAATAAAAATAAAAATGAAAGAAATAGAAGCGAATTCAAAATATAAATGTATGCAAAATTAAAAAAAATAATTATAATATGTTCTTTAGATTCAGTTAAGACTTTTTTAAACAAATAATTCGCCTATTGCTCACAAACTATTTCATATAGAAAAAAAAACACCTGACTATTCTATTTATATAATGATATTTGATTCGCTTATTGACCTTTTCACGGCTACAAGACAATTATTATCTTATCGACTGAACGCTGACAGAATAATTTTATGCAACTCTGTTGTTGTAGATTAATTTTCTTTTAGTGCACAATACCAGTTGTACCACTAACTGGGACGCGTTGGGAAATGAATGTTAAATCATCGTAATACTAACTTTTTCTTTTACTAGGGAGCCTGCTGATCTTGTACTGACAATACATGATTCAATACTACAGCTAATTTTCCTGAAACATTCTAGCATGCATGCATACAGCCCTATATAGGTGAGGGTACTTACTAAACTAACCTTACATACTAAATAACAATCTATACGTAGTTCTAGACTTATATTCACTATATAGTTTTAAATATAATTGTATTTACATTGATTAATTGAGAACACCCTGACATTAGTTAATAGTCTTATAGAAGAGTAAATCCTCTCCCTCCTCTGAGAATCCCCCCCCCAAAAAAGTTTTTGAAGATACATAATTTTCAAACGGTTTATAATCTAAAAATTTTGAGATTTTGAAAAATTTAATGCAGATTTTCTGGAAGGTTTTCAGTTTAAGTGTTCATTAATTCATGAAATATACGTGTAATGTTAATACTAAAAACACACGAGTTCGAAAACAGTGATTTTTTTGGAAAATGAAAAGGTTTTAATGTTAATGACATATAAGCCAGATAATTCAGTTCATTTTTCTGTTTTTGGAAAAGTGCAAAAACAATTGAACAGTTTCTTTAGAAAAACTTGTATCATGATTCAAAATTTAGAGAAATAGACTAATATATGATAAACAAGTGTAAATTAAATAATACTATAAAACGCTAGTATTCAAGAAAATAATTATTTGACGAAAAAATATCTAGCATCTACGAGCATCATCTCATCTAATAAAAATGTTCATACAAAATTGAATTTTTTGGTCAATTGAACAAACAATCCATTTTCATTAAAAATAGAAAATAGGACCACATTTATAAGTACAACCAATTCTCGTTTGGTGTTATTTAAGTTCGCATCAACTTCTACGTCATTAGCGATCACTATTGCGTGTAATGGTATGGTAACTGTGAGGATGACACGATATGATGATGATATAGGCTATCGATCCGCAGCCTTAGCGATCTCGGCCATCCGGACTGGCACCCAACTCTTGTGTAACGACATGAAAAAAATTTGCAGACATTTTGAATTTTTTTAAAAACATCCTACATGCATCGTACGATGTTCCTCAAAAATTAATTTTTGTATTATTTTACTCTTTTTGCAACAAGTTACACACACTTCCGAAGAGTCAGAGGGGGTTAGGATTCCTCCATTTCCGCGTTTTACGATATCCCTTCACTTCCAGAGACATCTGTATAACTTTTGAAACATGTTATTGAGGTCTTGCAATTTCGAATGCGGGGAGATGGCATGGTAAGCGGCATGCTTCATCCACATATTTACCCAATATTTACTGTTTATCAAATCAGTCAATATTGGTATTCATTTGGAAAGGAGAATATGTGGATCTCGGGATAGGGCAGGAACGGAATTAAATCGCCTGTTGAGCTGGAGTATGATCGTGGATCCCACGGTTAGAAAAATACGTGTCCTAACCACTAAAATAGATTGAAAACAACTGTTTCAAATTTGCTGGCCATCGAGTTCGGCCAAATAGACTGGGAAAAATCCACCTTGGGTTTGGGCGGTAAAGTTGTCCATAGGCAGACGGAGAGTCATAAAGATCATATTATCAGTATTTTCAACCTCTAACAAATATTGTTTCGTCAATATTACTTCGAGGGTTTGCAGCATTACTTTATCTTTATTGCGTTCACAAGAAACTAAAATACCGTTTAGCATTGCTAGCTACTGAGCACACAGGTACGAATATCAGTTGTAGACAATCACTCTCCTGTTGTTTGTATGGGATATTTAACTATAATACAATTGAAGACCAGTTCTGAAAATCAGTAAATATTCTCTAATAGAAAAACAATTTTTAGATGTACATACCACAGTCTCGCTCTAGACGTCGTGGCGTAAGCATCACATCGCTCCGCTTATCGCTGTGCTTCGGTGTTACGCTCAAACTCGTGTTTAGTGAAAGTCCCCCCCCCCATGGTTAATTCCAAATTATGTCAACATTGATCACAGAGAGCATACACCTAATATATCATATATCTCTAAACGGTAAGTTAACTCAGGATTTCCCGTTCTAATCCGTCGTGGTACAAGTGCCACCGATATATTTGGTCTAGAGCAACATA